CAGCACACAGTGCAGCAACTTGTGAAGTGAAAAATATCATTGCCAGGTTAAAAATAAGTTTTTCAAAAGAAACATCTGCTACCTTTTGTATAATCTGTTCTAAGGGATCAAAGTTGCTGCATTTATAACTGCATAAATAGGTGTACACGGCCTTAACACGGCCTCTTTTCCTTTGAAAACTTAATCCATATTTCTGGTACACTTGAATACTATCCAAATCCATTATATTTTAATTTAAATTAGGTCAGTTTTACTTCCCTAATTAAAAAAAATAAAAAAATAAAAATCGGTATCAAAAATGCCAAACACCCTTGGCCCCTGAATGCCACTCAGAAGCCTCTGATTCTGCATCCCCCTTTTAAGTTTGTTCTCAGCAGTTAGAAAGGAGATTTTCAAGAGCTTTTTCTGATGGATATCCCTGATTTCTGGGACTGGAGAAGCGTTGAAGGCTGGCCATGCTCCTGGCAGTGCCTCTTCAGCTGTATTTCCTACCCAAGAACTCTCCTCTGGCCCTTGTAGCCCATAGGTTCAGCTCCCAGCCCTCTCCTATTTTATTTTTTCCCCTTAAAAAGCTGAACTCGATTTTATGTCTTGTTTTAGTGCAACTCTGAACACAAATGATCATTTACAACTGTTCCTGCTTTCACCAGAAGCAAACTGTGCCCTCGTGCCTGGTGATTTTGACATTATTGGATGGCAAATAAGCAGAGCTGCTCTCAGGGAGCTGCAACTCCAGCCAAAGTGGAGAGAAAAGCTCTAACCAGAGCTGCAGATTTTCAACAAATTTATCTCTTGATTCAGCATCCAATCCGAGCAGGTATTTCATGTGCACTTTATTCATCTCCTCGTTGAACAAGAGGCAGAATCTTGTGACCCTCTCCCCTGAGGGTCCACTAAAAATCACATGGATATCAATTTGAATTCAACTATTTTTTCTGTAACTCTTAGACCTGGACTAGTCATGATTATGTTCTTAAGATTTTAGTGAATTCATGTCTTTATTGCTACATGAGGTACACTTTCTCTTTGCCATAAACAGAATTTTAAGAGCAGCTTTGTCAGCTTTGCAGATCTGAGTCTTTTACATTACAGTCAGCATTTAAATCAAGAGAAATGAGAGTTGTGAATTTAAATGTGTATTTCAAGTTTAATGCAAACCAAATGGACATATATATATATATATATAAAAAATATATATAAATAGGTGTTTGGGGATAAATGTTTCCCTAGAAATGTCAGGTTAGAGATCCAATGGTGCATGAGGTGGGGCAGGGTTCATCTCCTGAATGGATCTCTGTGCACTGAACCCACTCACAGGGACTTGTTTTGATCACATTTTCCTCCCCACATCTTTTATATAATTGAAAATTTGCTCTATCCAAACTCAATCTTCTTCTCCACAACACAAACACCTCATTCACAGCAATTCTCTGTCGCTTTTATCTCCCTGATATTTTTTAAGCACTCTTTGACTGGTCCTATCCTACCTGAAGGTGCAGTATCCCAAGCAGAAAGGAATTGATTGGATATTCCTGGTGGTCTTAGAGGAATTTTTCAGGTAATGACAAAAGAAAGGGAAAAATCAAAGTTGGCACTAGGGTTTAAATATATATATATATAATATATATATTTATATTTATATAATACATAAATATATATATTTATATAAGATATATATTTATATTTATATAATATATAAATATATCTTTATATAATATATAAGTTTATATTTATATTTATATAATATATAAATATATATTTTATATTTATATTTATATTTATATTTATATTTATATTTATATTTATATTTATATTTATAGGAAGAATTAGATAGAGGAGTGGTTTTTTTCCCTGTGAAAAGCAATATAATAAACATGTGACCTACTAAATAAATAAATGAATTAAATATCCCAATTATGAATGAGAAAAATAAAGACATGCAGTTTCTGACAATGCACTGAGTTTTACTCCAAACCATCCCAGGGCAGTTGCTTTGCTGTTCCAACCCTTCCCGTTGAAAAAAGGCTGAATTTTGGTGATTCCTCCTCTATTTCGAAATGGAGAGTCAGCAGTTTGATTTATAACAATAAATTACTTCAAAGGGTGAGCAGCATTCCACTTGCTGTGGAGTATGTGCAGCATTCTGGCAAGCAGTAAACACAAAATCCTTATGTTTTGCCAAAGTTTAAAACATATCAAGAATAAAGTGACTGGAAAGATGTTTTGTGTTTTAAAACTCTGTGTCAAGTTACTGTTTAAATCTTACAGGCTGCTTGAGGAGGAGGTGGTGTTTAAATTCCAGGCAGGTTAAAATTCAGAGCCTATGTTTGAGGAGAAATCAGCATTGAA